CTCTCCATTGGCTCCCTGTCAAATCCAGAATAGAATTCAAAATCTTAATTCTAACCTACAAAGCTCTCAACAACCTAGCTCCATCTTATATTACAGATCTTCTTGTTCCATATTTTCCTAACAGAGCACTTCACTCTCAGACTGCAGGTTTACTTGTGGTTCCTAGAATTTACAAAAGCAGAATGGGAGGAAGATCTTCCAGTTCTCAGGCTCCTCTCTTGTAGAACCAACTTCCAGTTTCTGTCCATGAGGCTGACACATTGTCCAGTTTTAAGACTGGGATTAAAACTTTCCTTTTTGATAAATCCTATAGTTCGGGTTGGGTTTTTATGCTGCCATAGGCTTAGACTACTAGAGGACAAATTGACCTCATTTCCTTAAATGATTTGCTAAAACTGAATAGTTTTCATTTGATACTATTTCTATCCTTAACATGTTATTTTTGACCTGCCATTGTGTATCTGTTCTTCCTTCCTGTTCCTCTCAAATCCAGCCAGTCAAAGCAGATGGCTGCTTGTCCTGAACCTGGCTCTGCTAAAGGTTTATTCTTCATGAGGGAGTTTTTCCTTTCCACTGTCACATTCATGCTTGCTCAAGATGAGAGTTCTGCGATGGAGTTAATTTTAAAGCAGTCTGCTCCTCAGATAAATAAGTGTTAACATTATTTTTATATATGAATGTTTCTGTTCAGTGCCCTGAGAAAACTTCTGTTGTGACTTGGCGCTCCTGACCATTTCATTACATTGTTGACCTTTTGTTGATTTTGCATATGACAAATAAACCAAATCTGAAACCTGTTCCTGCAGGATGTGGCTCAAATTAAGCCCTGTATTTATTGTTCTGGATAAAGTTTTACAAGGCAATAGCCTATTCTATGTTATCTAAACGATAGCTTGCTAACCAGAGACACAAGCAGGTTGGAGGATTGAAGATAATTTAATTCATTTCAATTCAGTTTATTTATATAGCACCAAATCACAACAAAGTTGTCTCAGAGCACTTTACAGGAACATTCACATACATAGAAAAGCCAATTAGTAAAGTTCTCTAAGGATTGTTGACTTATTGTTGACTTGCTTTACAGATCATTTACAATAAACTTACAATGATCTGTTCAGCAAAATACACTACACAGTATTGCTCACTGCTTTGTCTGTGCTGAATGTGAAAGTGAAACTTAAGTGAACGGCTATGATTCGAAAATAGTCTTCACGTGTCCTCAGCTGGATACATTGTACAATTACGGCAGGGTCCAGCATGTTAGGGGTGAAAAGTGTATTATGGGACAATTATCACAGATACCAATAGGTTCCCAAACGCCTATATCGGCCAGAGTTATCAGCCCTACCGATATATTGGTCAGTCTCTACTCTAAAGTAATGTGTTGGTGTATGGATGGAAATCACTTTGGGACAGTCTTTGTTCATGTAAAAGAATAATACATTTTAGGCAAAATGTGTGACTTTGGCTTAACTAGAAGTATTAAGCTGAACTTTTGACCTTTAGTATTTTGAATATAACTTTTTTAAAAGCTAAATTTCCTTATTCTGACAAGTAAAAAATAAAAAGCATTCATTTCAAGATGAAACGATGCTTCAGTTTTAACAACACCCAATCTTAGTGTGTAAATGTCAACACAAAGTAAGCTCGATAATTATTCTTTTATCTTGCTGAAGCATTTCCTTTTTTGTTTGCTATCATACCATCTTTAATGCACTCGTTAAATCCCTTAGAAAATCTTTATCCTGGGAATGGCGGGCAGACTTTCTGGGAACTGTTTGTGTGTCTGTCCTGTATCTGCTGCTGCTGCTTTGTTTAGATTAGACCGGCTTGGAAGGTTGACCACCAAAACCTGTGAAACATCCAGGGAGTTTTGATCTTCTCCAACATGTCTGGCACTGGACTGAGTAACATGAACTTGTTGTTAGGAAATAAATTAAATACAGTGGACTGATTTATAATGAAAGGTGAAGCAAGTAACACTTTAGTTCTTTAAAAGACTGGAAACTGCGAGGCAGTTCATATTACCTTACTGAACAAAATGACAGAGTTGCAGCTGTTAAAAAAACATCCAGTGGTTCATGAAATGTTTTGCTAACAGACAAACAGGGCTGCCTTTAAGTTATTTCTGAAGTTTAAGCAAAGTTCATGCAATGAGAAGCACATTAAGTGTGCTGTGAATGACTTGTCACATCCAACCAAATTTAATCACAACACTTGTAGAATTGACTGAATTATTGTCATTTTTGTGTTTTCCAAGGGCCATTGGCTTTGTTGGCCTTTTTGAAAGGAGCCATAGGCCAGTTGGCTGTGACAGCCACCTTTAATGGGCTTGAATTCAAATGTTTGTTTTTTTGTTTGCTGCAGACAACATTAATGTAATACTGAGTCTTTAGTCAAGCTGAGGGATAGCTTGGAAAAGCTAAAGAATAGGGAATTGAGTACCTACGCTCTAATCTTGAGGACAGCTAGGAGTAACCTGCTCTATTTTTTTTGCTTACAGGATGTTCATTTGGAGGTCACTTTTATTCCCTGGAGGACACATGGCACCCAGATCTGGGGGAGCCCTTCGGCGTCATGCACTGTGTCCAGTGTCACTGTGAATCTGTGAGTCCATGATGTTTAAGCATTGACCTATCATTGGATTTACTGCGGTGTTAAAAGTTCAAGGTGTCAAAACAACATATTTACCATTCT